TTGCTCCAGCATCTTCAATCTCGTCTTCAACACTTTCTTCACTGCCCCATTCCTCTGCTTCTTCAGCAGGGACGACCTCTTCTGTAAAACATAAATAAGAATCAAGGTTCTTGATAACTTGTCTATACTATGCCAGAGCAAATCATGTGCGGCGCGAGTAAAATAATCGGGGGCCATGTCAATTCTCGACGAGAAAACCAAATCCATCCAGAGAGAATTAAAGAGAATGTGCAGAGACTAGTAGGAAGCAAATGAGATCTGGAGCACATGGTCATCAAATGAGACGAAAACAACATCTGAATTATGCATGTATATGGGTTCTTGATTAAGCGTGAGATCAAGATGGCTGGATATTAGCCAGGTTCTTTTTTGGCGTCCATAAACTCACAAAAAAAGAACGAGGCCAATATCCAGCCACCTTGACCGAACAAGCTTGGTCAATAAAGGATTTGTTATACGGCTTGTGGGAAAATTTTTCTTGCGGCACACAGTGGGTTTTCCACGTAGCCAATCACAGTGCTGGATTTGGTTCATCTTGCCCGCTCACGGAGCTAGCCATACAAAATAAATTACAGAGAAACAGCTAACACTACCATAGCAATAAAGTGAGCAAGGAATGGCGCAAAGTACAGCTTTGTAGGCAGGCATAAGGTGAAGGGTGCATCCAAGCCTCGTGGCCCATCATGCCATATCCGGAGCAATTTAGAGTCCAGTATATCTAATACCCCCTAGATGGTATGCTCGTCTATCACAGAGTTCAAACCCCCCCTCCCCCCTTACTCATACTCCAGGGTGAAAAGGGTTCTTTCCAAGAAATCCACAGACTAAAATAACAGGATTAGTGACCTGGCTCTTCAACTGGTTCAGGTTCTTGGCTCTCCTTCATGATCTTTATCTTTGCCTTGCTCATCAACTTGCTAAATGACATCTCGTACTTTTCCAGTTCTTCAAGCAAGGCTAACAGGCTGCCATGCAGATCAATTTCACAACGCTTTCTTGGGGGTGGGGGCTTGGGTTTCCTGCCACGCTTCTTAGGGGGAGGAGGTGGTTCTGCAAATTTCTCACAGAGCTTCTTCAGAGACTCAACATCGAATGCAGCGAGTTCAAACCCTTCAGCAATTGTGTTCTTTGGTTCCCGCTGTTGTTCTTCTACAGCTGGCGGGGGTAATTGTGGATTTGGAGCTTCTGGTTCAGGAGATGGTGTTCCACTTCGTAGCTACATCAAGGAAACAAAAGATGTTTGAAAACCAGGATGTAATAACAGCTAGG